CCCAACCCGCAGATGATGTCCGCGCCGATGGCTAAGAACTGGAAGTCCCCGCGCGCGGCGCCCCGCAGCCCAACCGGTGCGCGCAGCGGGCTGCCCCTCCATGAGCGCCCGCCCGACCCGACGCGCCGAGCGCCATCATCGGGTGTCGCGCAGGAGCACCCCCGCGCGCCCCCCAAAGGCCGCCCCATAAGGTGGCAGCGTTAGTTGCGAATGTTTGTTATGTTGCAGTGTGTTGCATTTCTCGTTGCAGTCTCATTGTAATCGATGCGCCTGGTCGTGGTCCTCGTCTGCGTGGCTGCTTCCGCATCCGCTTTCGCGCCGGTCGCTCCGCGCTGCGCTAGCGCTCGCGTCGCCTTCTCGCCCGCGCCCGACGCGCCGCGCGGCCGCGCGCTGCTGCTGCGCGCCGAGCCGCGGGAGAAGCGCGAGTTCGATCCGGTCATCGGCAAGGCCATCGCGGAGAAGGGCGGCTTCTTCGTCGCCGCGATCGTCCTGTCCGTCGTCTTCGAGAAGGCCTCGCAGTACCTCGCGGCGCAATGAAGCGGCGCGTCGTCCTCGCGCTCGCGCTCGCGGCGGCCGCGGGCTTCGCGCCGACGCCGCGCCGCGCGTCGATCCCGCGGCGCGCGGCGAGCGCGGCCGACGACGAGGCGGCGCTGCCCCGGCGGCCGACGCCCGAAGCCGCGCCCGAGGACGTCGTCGCCGCGCAGATGAACGCGCTGCGCGACGGCGACGTCATGCGCTGCTTCAAGTTCGCGAGCCCGGCGAACAAGGCCGTCACGGGGCCCTGGAAGCGCTTCGCGTCCATGCTGCAGGGCAACCCGGACTACGCGCCCATGGTCCGGTGCAGCCGCTGGGCCTTCGTGGGCGCCATCAGCCCGTCCGAGGGCCGCAAGGTCGTGCGCGTGCGCGTCTTCCCCGCGGGCGGGTCGTCGGCGCCCTTCGCGATCCCGCCGCTCCTCGAGTACAACTTCGTCCTCTCGCGGCAGCCGGACTACGCCGCCGACGACGACCGCCGCGCCTACGCGAACTGCTGGGTCACGGACTCCGTCGTCGTCGCGGACCAGGCGGCTAACACTTAGGTCAGGTCGATGACGTGCGGCCGGTTCGGCGGCGGCGGCGCGTCGTCGTCCGAGTCGCCGATGTCGATGACGACGGCGTTCGCCGGGACCGCCTCGAAGCGGCGGCGCTTCGGCGCGCGGGGCGCGGCGGGAGGCTCGGGAGGACGCGCCCGCGGCTCGGCGGGACGCGCCCGCGGCTCCGGTGGACGCGCGCGGCCCTCCTCGGCCTCCTCGCTCGACGACCGCGCCCGCGCGTCCTGCTTCGCGCAGGCGCGGCGCCAGACGTCGTTCCCGACGACATTCTCGCCGCCCGCGAGCAGCGCCTCGCTCAGCGACGGGATCTCGCCCGCGTCGCGCTTCGCCTTGAGCTCCTGGACGAACTCGCGGAACCGGATGCGCTCCTCCTTGCCGAGCTGCTGCACGACGTCCTGGAGCAGCTGCTGCAGGTT